AAAATAAATGAACAGAGCTTTCAACTCAAGATGTTGTACAAAGAACATTAAGAAAAAGGAATAAAATAAAACCAGAAATTAACAGTAAACAAACACCAAACACTGGAGATAATTAGTAAATCATCAAATAAACTAGACAAACTATGTTAAACACCACAACCAAATACAGCTAATTTCAAGAAGGAAATATCAATTCAAAACCAGTAATTCTACTAATGTAAATCACCATTAGCAAATTAACAGAAAACTATGTGTTTATATTAAAAGATGCCCAAAAATCATTTGATAAAACCCAATTCCACTCTGGATTTTAAAACAAACAAAAACTTCTCAAACTCCCCTGAACTTCATGACAGTAGTCTAACAGAGACCTACAGAGCCCTACATACTGAGTGGACAAACACTAGCAGCATTACCTTTAAAGTCAGAAACAACACAAGGATGCCCCCATCACCATTACTACTCAACACTGTAATAAAACTAGGAAAATCTAGAGGTATGAATACCAGAAAGAAAGGGGGTGTTATGGGCTAATTGTGCCCCCGCCCCAAAATATATTGAATTCCTAATCCCCGGTACTTCAGAATACGACTGTATTTGGAGATAAGGCTTTGAAAGAAAGTTAAAATGAGACCACTAGGATAGGCCCTAAGCCAATCTGACTGGTGCCTTTTTAAGAAGAGATTAGGATATAGAGAGTGACACCAGGGGCCCATGTGCACAGGGGATGGCCATGTGAAAAAGTAGCAAGAGGGAGGTCATCTGCAAGCCAAGGAGAGGCCTCAGGAGAAAGCAACCCTGCTAATACTTTGATCTTGGACTTCTAGCCTCTAGAACTGTGAAAAAATTAATTTCTGTTGTTTAAGCCAACCAGTCTGTGGTATTTTGTTATGGCAGCCCTAGCAAACTAAGATAGGGGACACAGATCACCTACCTCAAGAGCCCAAGACAATTAGCTGAAAAACTAACAGAACTAATAAGAGCATATAAGGCAATCCAACACAGGATCAATATAGAAAAATCAACTATTTTCCTGCATACTAGCAACAGCCAATTGGAAAATATAATAGATAAAAAGATGCCATTTTCAATAGGAATGAAACTATAAAATAAAATACCTAGTAATAAACTGAAGAAGAGATATACAAGAAAGCCTGAATAAATAGCAGACCATGTTTGAAGACAGAAGGACAAGATGGCCTGTTTTGTGGCTGCTCAAAGGTAAATGGCAGAATGATAGCAATGTCATCCAGAAGTTGCACTGGTTCAAAAGCAATTTTCCCGGGCTTCCCTGGTGGCGCAGTGGTTGAGAGTCCGCCTGCCGATGCAGGGGACACGGGTTCGTGCCCTGGTCCAGGAGGATCCCGCATGCCGCGGAGCGGCTGGGCCCGTGGGCCATGGCCGCTGAGCCAGCATGTCCGGAGCCTGTGCTCCGCAACGAGAGAGGCCGCGACAGTGAGAGGCCCACATAACGCAAAAAAAAAAAAAAAAAGCAATTTTCCCTGGCATGTTGTTTTTAACCAATCAGTGGTGAGTTTTCTCATATTTCAGAGAAAACCTTAGCTATATATGAAGACCTACACACAAAAGCTAAAAATCCTGCAATAGTGCCTCCCGTCAGAGGAAGGGTAAATGGTGGCTTTGTTTTCTACAAAATTAAGTTCTGTTGGGAGAGGAGGATGGTGGAGAGTGCAGCTGAAGACGTTGTGAAGACACTTTCCCCTGTGTTTAAAAACAACAAAGGACTTCCCTGGTGGTGCAGTGGTTAAGAATCCGCCTGCCAATGCAGGGGACACGGGTTTGAGCCCTGGTCCGGGAAGATTCCACATACCACGGAGCAACTAAGCCCGTGTGCCACAACTACTGAGCCTGCGCTCTAGAGCCCGCGAGCCACAACTACTGAGCCCGTGCGCCACAACTACTGAAGCCCGCGCACCTAGAGCCTGTGCTCCACAAGAGAAGCCACCCGCAACAATGAGATGCCCACGTACCACAACAAAGAGTAGCCTCTGCTTACCACAACTAGAGAAAGCCCGTGCACAGCAACGAAGACCCAACAGAGCCAAAAATAAATAAATAATTAAAAAAAATAAAAACAACAACAACAAAAGACTGCTGACGACTAGGCTCTGGATCAGATTTTAATTTGATAAAGCTGCTATTTATTGTAAGCAAATGCCCTCAAGAACCAACATCTGGAAGGAGGAACCTGAGCCCAGGCAGAGTTTAGGGCTACAAAGGATCCACTGACTACAATGCTGGGTGCAAATGCCAATGGGCTCTAACCAGGCAAGGATTACTATTAGGACTGTCATTATCTGGGCCAGTATTTTGGCTTCAAAGCCACAGAGATTTTGAGGGGTATACCCCTTTCTTTTTCTTGTAAGCCCTATTATTTTTAGTGTACAAATCTTCAGGACATTTTTCAGAAATGTGTATATTCCACTGTAGCAGAAAGGGCTCTGATGAAAGATGTTAGTCTCCATAAATTAATCCATAAATTGCAAATGCCATGCAATCTTAATAAAAAATCCTAATAGGATTTTTCATGGAGTTTGACAAGTTGATTCTATAATCCATCTGGACTAGAAAAAGCTCAATAATGGCCTAGAAATTCTGGAAAAATAAGAACAAGTAGTTGGGTACCTCCTCATTAAACTGCCTTTCTAGTGTTGCTGGGCAAAGCAGGGATAGGGGGAAGCAGACAGAGGTTGAGTGAGTTGTTTGTCCTGAGGTAGGACTAGTGAGACCAGGTCCAGATGCCTTGGCTATAGGTCAATGTGACTGTCTGCTGAAGGTAAGATGGATAGCCAGGGAAACTTGGCAACAAACTAAGACCAATCACAGCTCAACCCAGAGATGATGGGCTTGCTGAACATCTGTATTCTCCTCAGGTCCAAAGCAAGTTATGCAGAGGGGAATCTGCCCTACCAGACACAAGGTCTAGAGTAACTAACCTATGAGGTAGTGCCACATGAGTGGACAAGTTGGTTTTATGGAACAGAATATTAATAACATCTAACACACAGCACTTACCATGTGCTGGGCAATGTTTTAAGTGCTTTATGTGTAACTCATTTAATCCTCACAACAACCTATGAGGTAGGTACTATTATCACAGAGAGGTTAATTAGCTTGCCCAAGGTTACATAGCTATTGAGGAACAGAACTGGGAACAGAGTAGAAAAACAAACCCAGGGAATTGCCTGGCAGTCCAGCGGTTAGGACTCTGCACTTTCACTGCCGAGGGGGTGGGCTCAATCCCTGGTCGGGAACTAAGATCCCACAAGCCGCTCAGCGCGACCCACCCCCCCCCCCCAAAAAAAAAAGGAAAAAAGAAAAACAAATCCATATATATATGGGAATTTAGTTTAGGACAGAAGCGGAGCTTCAAATCAGGAGGATAATTGATGAACTAGTCAATAAATGGTATTGGGGAAAATGACTATCCATGTGGGAAAAAATACAGATTCTTACCTCTCACAATTCACAAAACCTAATTCCAGAAAAAAAGCTAAAATTTTAACTACTGTACAAGTTTTAGGTGAAAATATAAGAAATTCTTCTTACACAAAACATAAAATACAAAAGAAAATTGATAAAGACAACTATGTAAAAACTGAAATCTACTACATGCTAAAAGATACCATAAGTAAAATTAAAATACAAACAACAGACTAAGAGAAAATATTTTTCAATACTTGCAGAATATATAAAAAACACTCCAACAAATCTAGAATACATAAAGAACTCCTACAAATCAATAAGAAAAACTAACATCCTGAAAATGAGTGAAAAACTGAATAGATAATTCATGGGAAAGGAAGAGCCAATAAACATAAAACAAACAAACTGCAACACCATTTTTTGCCATCAGATTGGCCAAAATTAAAAAGGCTGATAACATCCACTGTTGGTAAGGCTGTGGGAAAACAGGTATATCTCATACACCACTCATATACTGACCTTTTTGGAAGGAATTCAGCACTATCAACATTTATGTTGTACATACCTTCAACTCAGCAGGTCTAGCTACCTTACAGAAATGTTAACGGGCACATGGGCACAAAAGGTTATTTATAAGAATTTTCAAAACACTAAAAATTAGAAACAACCTAAATGATAATCAGTAGGAAATAGTTAAACATATGATGGTATACCTATGTTACAGACTACTATGCAGCAGGTAGATCTCAATGCATTGATGAAATGTATCTCTAGGTACTGATGTTGAAAGATATCCAAGTAAGTTGTAGAACCACACACACTAAACCAAACTATACCTCTATCTATTTATGTCTACATATGGGTATAAACACAAGAAAATAAAAGGTATACATCAAACTGATAACAAAGGTTACCTTTGGATAACCTTTCTCAGAGGGGGAAGAGTGTTAGTCAAAGGAAATTTCTGCCTTCTCTGTCTTGTTCTAATTTTGGTCAATGAGGATTAATTTTTTAAATAATATTAAAACAAAAACCTACATTAAAGTCAGCTGCACTATACAAAAAAGTGCTTCATACATTGTAGTACTCAACAAAGTTTACTTTACAAAAAAGGAGTCATCTATTAAATGTGAAAAGCCCACCGAAAAGTCATCATAAACCTTTGCAAGGGATGAACTGAATGACACATAACACAAATGATACAGGTAATGGAAGTAAAATAGGCAAGAGGGAAAAAAGAGTCACCAGCAGCGAAGATTGGATAATGCTAAAAATGGTTAATAGCTAATTATAATAGCTACCATTTTCTGAGGGCCTCCCATGAACAAGACACGGTGCCAGGTGCTCTGTGCAAGCATCATCTCTAATTCTTACAACAACCTGTGAGATATCCCCATTTTATGGATTAAGAAAATACGGCACAGAAAAACCAAGTATCAGGTTTAAGGCCAGGCCTTTGCTCACTACAGGCTGTCCTGGATTGGATTTGGGATTGAGACTGGGGCTAGTGGGGAGCCCTCCTGGCCTGGACTCAAGTGCTCAGCTGCCCTTACTATACTCTGCATCCTTGAAGCATGCTCCCAAGCTGTCCTGTTCATCGAGACTGGCGTTCTCCTCCTCCTCCTCGCTCTCGGTTCTCCAGTACGCTGGCCGCTTGATGGGCCGCTTCCCTGGGGTGCGCTGGGAAGCAGGACTGCTAGACACTGTGCCCAGCCCACTGCTGGAACTCCCACTGCTTCGGTCCTGCCCCCCGGTCCACCAGGCCTGCAGGCTGGAGGTAGCTGGCGAGGATGATGAGGACTGCAGGTTGGCCATGCACAGCATGCCCTGGATGGCCTCCTGAGTGCTGGGAGAGGCAGGGGCCTCGCTGCAAGGGACAGAGGAGAAATGCTGAGGGAGTTTCTCTAGTTGTCAGAGGAAATCAGTCATCAGAAGAGTCAGGGAGGAGGGACAACAGCTGCCGGGGTCAGGGTGGGAGGAAGGAGGAGAGAACCATCCCAGGCGAAAAACCAGAAACCACACTAAAGATCAAAATAGTATCAAAGACTATTTTCATAAAAAGGCCAGTCCTTCTTGACTCGTCTCTCCATAGACAGCAGGCAAGATGGCAAAAAGAGGGGTGCACCTCCCTTCCTGTTCACCAATGCTGCATTCTTTCCTTTTTCTTTTTTCTTAAAGCAAGGCCCAGAAAAGGCCCAGCTCTCCTTCCATGCCTCTTCTAACTTCCAAAAACCCCCAAACTTATTACCCTTGAAGTCCGTATTATCCTCTCTCGGTCAGATATTAAGTACCTCGGGACAGATTTCATGTCTACTTTATTCTTTCAGCCCAAATGCCCTGGCTAATTTTTGTCCCTTTAAATGACCCAATTAATATCTACTGATTGGTTGACCTAGCCCTTTGGGTGGCAGGTGGGGATGTGTGCTGTCTGAACACCTAGAAAGGGGAGATAAAAGCCAGTACTCACGTGAGGGCAGCATAGTCAGGTCCCCCCACCTGCCTGCTGGCCTTGAGCAGATCAAGAATTCCACCAGCTCCACTCCCATTTCCAAGCTTGCCTTCAACCCCTTCTACCATGTCCTCATCTGTTGTATAGTCCTCCTGTTGGAGAAAAAGGATATCACCTCAGCTGCCCAGGGTTGGTCTGGTAAGGCCCCAATACAGGGTTGACAGTCTCACTCCTGATACTAGTATCTTCTGAGCACCAAGTATCTACCAACTACTAAGCAGAATATTTGTTCTTTCATCTTAATCTCCACAGCATCTTTGTGAGGCAAGTCTAACTCCCATTTTACAGATAAGGAAACTAAGGCTCAGTGAAGTTAAATAATTTGTGTAAAGTCACAATCAGATATTCCAAATCAGATACTCTTTCTGCTACATCACACTGCCTTTTATTCTACTCTATATTAAAGAATTTTAAAAATATTTCAACTAAAGTATAATCTTCCATTTATATGTTCAGGAGCACTTAGCCCACAATCTTTCACTTTATAAATATTTTAGGAATGGAATGCATAGGATCTCTCCCCCACCCTCAACTAGAATGACAATCTGTATTCTGTCTATGTAACCAGAATGAGCAGAAGATTAGAAACAGGGCAGGCCCCTACCTCAATGTCAAACTCAACTTCTCCTGGTTCACGAACTCGGTTGGGGTCAGAGCAAGGCTTCGCACGGGGCAACTTTCGGGGAAATTCTAGAAAGCAATGGAATGCACTTATCATGAAGCTAAGATTAGCATCTGAGCCAAACACCCAGGGGAAAGAGAATAAGACTATAATTTTCCTGAAAGTAATGACCACAGACGAGTAATTTAGGGAGGTTAGGAAATAAATCTCTAGAGCAAAGGACACATGGAAGCCTACAGAGCTGGTAAATCAGAATGTCAACAAGCTCAGGCCTAAGGTCTTGAGTCTATCAAGCAGACCAAAAACAAACTGAAATGGGCAGGGCAGGAAAGAAAAAGAACAAGTACACACTTGGTCTTATTATCAGGGTTGCCTTCTCCTTTCCCAGTCTCTCGTCAATCTGCAGTTCATCATCTGAATCCAAGTCAAATTCATCCTCCATCACATGTTCTGCCACCAGCCTAGCCTTGTCTACCTTCTTTGTGATCCTGGCTCGCCGAGACTTGGATAAGCTCTTTACCCTCTTGGTACTGGAGAGAGAGTGAAGGTGAACATAAAAACAGTCACACTCGATGGCAATTCTACCCAAATTGATCTACAGATTCAATGCAATCCTATCTAAATCCATCTAGTTTTGTAGAGATTAATAAGCTGATACTAAAATGTATATGGGCATACAAAGGACTTAACATGGCCAAAACAATTTCAAAAAAGAACAAAGTTGGAGGATTTATACTACTCAATTTCAAAATTGAGCTACAGTAATCAAGGTAATGTGATATTGCCATAAGGATAGACATACACATCAATGGAACAGACCTGTGAGCCTAGAACTAAACGCTTAAATTTTCGGTCAATTGATTTCTGACAAAGGTGCTTATTAGGCAATTCAGTGGAGAAAGAATAGTCTTTTCAACAAATGATGCTGAGATAAGTGGATATCACATGCAAAGAAATGAATGTGTACTCTTACCTCATATCATAGACAAAAATTAAAAATGGATCATAGATCTAAATGTAAAAGCTAAAACTATAAAACTTCTAGAAGAAAATATAGGAAAATATCTTTGTGGCTTGAGATTAGGTAAAATTCAAAACATTTGTGCTTCAAAAGACACCATTAAGAAAATGAAAAGACAAGCCACAGACTAGGAGAAAATATTTGTAAATCATTTATCTAGAAAAGGATTTGTATCCAGAATATTTAAATAACTCTTAGAATGCAACAAAAGACAAACAAAACCAATTAAAAAGTAAGCAAAAGATCTGAATGGACATTTCTCTAATGATGATATATAAATGGCTCAACATTATTAGTCATTAGGGAAATGCAAATCAAAACCGTAATAAGATACCACTTTACATCCATCAGAATGGCTATAATCAAAAAGACAGACAATAACAAGCATTAGTCAATATATGGAGAAACTCATAATTGCTGGTAGGAGTGTAAAATGGTACATGCTTTGGGATAAATTTTGGCAATTTCTTAAAAAGCTAAACAGAGTTACCATATGACCCAAAATTTTACTCCTGAGAAACAAAAACATGTCCACACAAAAACTAGTACTCAAATGCTCATAGCACCATTATTCATAGTAGCCAAAAAGCATAATCAATCCAAATGACCATCAACTAGTGAATGGATAAACTAAATGTGGTATAGCCACACAATGGAATACTACTGAGCAATAAAAAGGAAATTAATGATACTTCTACATGATGGATGAACTTCAAAAACATTGTTAAGTGAAAGAAGCCAGACACAAGAGACTACATATGTGTGATTCCATTTATATGAAGTGTCTAAAAAGGCAAATCCATAGAGATAGAAAGTAGATTAGTGGTTGCTTGGGCCTGGGGAAGAGAACCAGGACTGACTGTAAGTGGATATGAGGGATCTATTTGGTGTGATAGAAATGTTCCAAAATTATATTGTGGTGATGGCAGCGTATTCTTTAAATTTACTAAAAGTCATTTAATTGTACACTTTAAACAGGTTAATTGTATGGTATGTAAATTATACCTCAAAAAAGCTGTTAAAATATATAAAGGAAGTAGAAAGAACTCAAAAGTGGCTTAAATAATCCTGTTACACATGGTAAACAATATTAACCAGTACAGACTGCTCAAATAAGCCTTACAGTTAAGAGAAACAAGTTTTTGGTAAATCAGTACACTTGACACATTCAGCAAATAGTCATTTGGTGAACTGGATTTTAGTGAATTAGCTGTTTTCTACCTCATAGGGTTGCTGGGAGGATTAATGAGCTAATGTAGAGACTGACACATGGCAAGTGGCCCAATGGTAGCTAATCTTATAGTTCTCTGGGCCTCACTTTACCACATTAGTAAAATGGGGATAACAACAATTACCCTCAGGGTTGTTGTGAGGACTAAATAAAATAATGTATGTAAATGGCTAAGACAGAGTCTGACACAGAGCAGGTGCTCAATAAATGGTAGCTATTTATTAACCCTGATCTTTTATTAACTTCTAATAATGAAAAATCTCAAACATATATAAAATATTAAAAACTCCCATGTACCTATGACCCAGCTAAGTTTTAGCAATTATCAACACACAGCCAATCTTGTTTCATATATACCTCAGTCCCCACAAAACATGGCATTATTCTGGAGAAAAGATCAGACATAATATCATATCATCTATAAATATTTCTATACCTTCACTCCCTAGGTTCACTTAGCAGCAGCCTCTGGCAGGTGCAAAAAGGTAACAAGCAGCACAAGAAAGACTGGTGAGGAAGGGAAAAATGTCTCATTGTGTCCTCAATAGCCATTATAGGCTGGACCCTTAGGACTCTCAATTTTCTCTTCCCCAGCAGACCAACCATGGGTTCTAGACAAAGGCAATGCTCAACAGTCTCTCTAATCTTATTCTTCAGTAACTATGTTCTCAATTAACAAGGATAGCTCTGCTGCTTTCAGAATCTGCCCTGCCCTCACACTCCCTTTTCCCTTATTTCCCAGCCAGGTAGACCTACTACACTCACCCTTGGGATCTGAAAACAATCTTTTCCTACAAAAAGGTTGTTAACGTATCCTTGTCGCTTATGTTCCTACACTGTTCATACTCTGTACTTAACTCTTGACTGCTCCTGTCTGGTGTTCTGAGTGTCCAGATGGTAACTTTTACTGTCTTCCTTTGCCTCCCTACATGTTTGAGGGTTTCTGATGACCTACTTAGCTTCTGGCCATACCCACAACCATCATCATCACCACCACCACCATCACCTTTCATCTTCAACTTCATCATATTCATAAGAGCGACCATTTATTAAGCATTTACTATGTGCCAGAACCTGTGATAGGCACTTTACATGCATTACTTCATTTAGTCCTTCAACAACCCTAAGATAAGTTTTATCTATAGAATAGATAAAATGAGGACAGAGAGGTGCAGATACGTTAATTAGCTTGTCAAAGTCACATAGCGAATACATGACAGAGCAGGGATTCAAATTCGGGATTGTCTGATTCCCAAGCTGGAGCTTTTTGCCAAGATGTGCTTTTATTTTATTCTTTTAGAAAACATTCTGTTAAAAATTATTTTAGGGTTTCCCTGGTGGCACAGTTGTTGAGAGTCCGCCTGCCAATGCAGGGGACACGGGTTCGTGCCCTGGTCCGGGAAGATCCCACATGCTGCGGAGCGGCTGGGCCCGTGAGCCATGGCTGCTGAGCCTGCGCATCCGGAGCCTGTGCTCCGCAACGGGAGAGGCTCGCGTACCGGAAAAAAAAAATTATTTTAAGAAAAGTAATATGTGCTCACTGTATAAAATTCAAATGCTTTTGAAGTGAAAATTTCCTCTCTTGCTTCCCCTATTCTACTTTCTAGAGATAACTACTGTTACAAGTTCGGTGTGACAAGTATAAAATATGTGACAAATATATTTATTTGCATGGATGTGTATAAACATCTCTGGAAGGAAATCGTTGACACTGGTTTTCCATGCAGAGGGGAACTGGGGAACAGAGAGGAGTGGGAGCAAAATTTTTCACTATGTATTCTTTCACACTTTTTGAATTTTAAACCACATAAATTAAATTTTAAACCTCTTCAAAAAGGTTAAAGGAAAAGGTCTGTATGTTGCTTTTTTACACACACACACATATGTGCATACGTGCTTTTTTAAAAAATTAAAATGAACTATTCCTATATATTATCTTGCAACCTGATTTTTTCACTTAAAATATATCTTGGAAATCTTTTCACGTCAATAGATAGTAAACTCATTCTTTTTAAGTTACACAGCATTCTATTCCATAGATGTACCATAATTTATTTATCCAACCTTTATTGATGAACGTTTCCAATTGCTTACTATTACAATGATACGGTGACTACTAAATATTTCTCTTTACACACCTGTGCAAATATTTCTGCAAAATAAGTTCCTAAAAACTGAATTGCAAAAGGTATATAAAAAACTAATGCTCTTAACCAGTATGCTGTACTACCTCCTATTCCCACCAACAGTTCTGATCCACTGACTTGCTGAAATTTCTAGAACTTATATAAGATTTTTCGCAGGATTGCCAATTAGTTCCAGACCTCTCCCCCTTCCCACCCCCAACACTACCATGGTTCTCTGTACTAAGGAATGTTATCTGATAATATCTGGTTATTTCCCCAAGCACAGTCCCTCCTTCACCCATGTCCCAGCCCCAGGTCCCAATTCCATGCCTTGTCTTAGTGGCATATTGCCACCAACACCCAGCATCTCTGCTTCTTCTCCCCACCTCACCTGCCATTAGACATCAACAGGGCCAGCGGGCCCTCATTCCCATCAAGGTCCAAGTCTGGCGAGTCATCATCTGAGTCATTCAAGCAGGTACCAGTGATGTTGAACTGTAGGAGGAGGAGGCTCAGTTGTCACCTGTCTGGAACTCCCATGTGAATCAGAATGACCAGTTCCCTCTGGTTTCACTGGTTGAGTTCACTGTCAAAACCACCTGAACCAAGGCCTTCTGCTATGCTGTCCCCCCACCCCCAACCCAAATGATCACAGGAGCAGAAGGCTGAGAATGTATGGCTGGCTCAGGGGAAACCTATCCATCTTGCAAAACATGTTCCCTAAAAAGAGGTGGAGTATCTTCACATGCTTATGGAGGGCACCACAATCTTGAAGCAAGGTGGAGCCCTGGAGGAGGGCTTTTCTCAAGAACCTGTTCAAGACTCCAACCTGCCACTCCTATACCATGCTCTCAAATGTCATTCCCATCCCAGCATTTCAAGATTCATCTCAAGTGTCATGTTTACTGAGAAGAGCTCCTGACCATCGCCCCTACCCAGATAGAATCATCCCCTCCCGTGTCTCAGGGTCCCACACATACCCTTGATCGTGGCATCCACAACGCTTCATTGCACTCATTTCTTTTTATGCCTATCTTTCTCACTAGCCTGTCAGCCTCTTGAGGGTTATGTCCACAGCACCTATCACAGTGCCCAGCATAGACAAGATCTCAATAAATGTCTGTTAAATGAGTGGGACTGGTAGCCAAACACCAGGGGCCCTAAGGGAGGTGGGAGGACAGGAGAGCCTATCCTTTTTATACCCTGCTCTTCCAAGGGACCCAAAAGGGTTGGGCTGAACCCAAGGGCCAGCACCCACCTTTGCTTTCTGGGAACAGCCTGTCTTCAGTGCCTGATGACTGTATGTGTCCATGAGATTATAGCTCAATTGGCCAGCAGGCCCCAAGGCTGAGCTCTCCTTGCCCTTTCGCTCTGCCTTCTTGAAGAATTCCTTGGGCTTCAGGCCTTTCTTCTTTGAACCACTTTTGGAGGGCAGTGACAGCCTGGACATGGATACTGAAGTGGAATGGGCTGGCCTGGTTAAGGGAATGGAGCCGGCTGGGAAGATCCTCTGCAGCCCAAAGATATTGCTTGTCTTCCCAACGTTCTGTTGGAAGATATCCTACAAGAGTGTTAGTACATGAGGGGGTTAGAGCTTACTCAAGGGTTCACTCTGCACTAAGAGCAGAGGTCTGTTTATGGCACTGGCGGTACTGCCATGAAGGGGCTTAAAGATGCTCCACATATGCACTTATGCACACCCTAGTTTTGGCACAATAAGTCATCAAGAATTTACTGGGTGGCATTTCTTTACCTAGCCATTGACGAGTAAGGAGAAGACGAGCAGAGGAAAAGCTCAGCACTACTGTCAAAACCGGAAAGGAAAAGACTCCAAGTGCAGCTGACATGAGACAGAAAATAATTGAGTACTAAAATGTGTGGTTCCAACTCTAAGGACCACAGGATTTGAGAGCAGGAGAGCGGTTCTAGTCCTAATTCTGCTACTAGCCTCCCACCTTCATCTTATTCACAGCAGTTATGCTTTGATTGGTTGTATATATTGAGCTTCCACATTAAGATTTCATTTGAAAAAAAGGATTTCATTGCTTCAAAACATTTGAAAGCCAATGAAAAATATATGATCCATCTCTTAAGTCCTCTTCCAACCAGCCCAAAGTTCTGTGTATATAAAACTCGTTTAAGTGGGAAGAGCCAGAGAAAAGGTAGGCCTAAAACCCTGAAGGATTCTGACAGATGGAAGTGGTGGAAAATGAGGTAGGAGGTGGACAATGTAAGCTATGGTGTAGGCAGTGAAACATGCTGCAAGAGGTGAGGCTAGAACCCCAACTTCATAGTAGCTCACTCTGACCACCCTTCAGCACAGATTTAGTGCCTATATCCTGGGCACTAAATGGAACCTTACAGCTTCTGAGCTAAAGGAAAGTTGAAACTTCCTCAAGTCCAATTCTCCTCTGGTGCCTTTGCTACTTCACCAGCCCACACTGAGTTCTCTCTTTGCTGCAGTCTATTAATAACAATGGCTCACATTTATTGAGTACTTACTCTGCCAGGCACTGTGCGAGGGGCTCTATATACATTAGCTCTTAATCATAACAAAACTGTGAAAAGGTGGTGTTATCCCCACTTTACAGATAAGGATACTGAGGCTCTGAAAGGCTTGCAAATGACAGAGCAGGAACCAGAACCCAAGTTTCTCTGAGTCTCTTACCACTGCACCTTACTGTCTCGTGGTATATGCCACCTGTTGAAACATGGCTTTGTAATCATCTTCAACCCGGGAGAACTGTCATTTTGTAGAATGTAGAGACTGAGTCAAAATATTAATAACAACAACTACTACTACTACTACTATGACCTCTGCCACCCACGACCACCATGACCCACCAGCAGAATTTACTGAGCACCTACTGTGTGCCAAGCCCTATACTTAGTGCTCAACCTGTATTATCTTACTCAATCCTCTTAATAATCCCTCAGTAGTTATTAGTTATCCCCACTTTAGACATGAGGAAACTGAGGCTTAGACAGGTTAACTTTGCCCAGGTTCCTCTACTAGATTGTGAGTTCTTTGTGGGCAGGCACTGTATTATTTATGTATCCTAAGCACCTAGCCCAACATGTGGCACGCTTGAGGTACATAATAATTATCTGAATGAATGAATAAATGAATGAATGAATAGGGTCCTTGGTGGGGTCTTCCCAATCCTTCCCCTGAGCTCTCATGCCAACTGCAAAAGCCTGACCTGCCACTTGAGCCTTGAGCCCTTCCCAAACGCCTCCCCTGCTCCCATGCTTCTTACTTCCACCAGGCGAATCTCCCTAGCCAGATCTTTAATGAGCTGTACGGTCCGCACTGTCTCTGGGATCTCATCCTCGTGGTCTGGCAGAGCCTGTCAAACAAAAGGCATGAGGAATAGATCCACACATAAATGAACTGATTTTCAACAGTTACCAAGGCAATTCAATGGAGAAAGGGTAGTCTCTTTAACAAATGGTACTAGACTGATCAGATATCCATATGCAAAACAAGAACTTCATTCCATATCTTGCACCAGACACACACACAGACTCAAAATGGATCACAGACCTAAATGTCAAATCTAAAACTATAAACCTTTTAGAAGGAAACAGAGGAGAAAATCATTGGGACCTTGGGTTAGGCAAAGATTTCTTAGGACATAAAAAGTATGAACCATAAAAGAAAAAACTGATAAATTAGACTTATTAAAAAATAAAAACTTCTCTCAGAAAAACACTGTTAAGACAAACCACTGACTGGGAGGAAATATTTGCAAAACATATACCTGATAAAGGACAGTGTCAAGAGGTGTGAGGAACTTAGTTGTGGCTTGAACCACACCCCTCAGAAAGTCAAGAACCTCAGCAAGATCCCTGGGGACAATCCAGCCTCTCCACTTGTGAGGACAGAACTCAATGTTGAGCAGCTACAAGCCCACAGCTAGCCCAACAGCAACCCAGGGAGAGACCTGTTGATTGTCTCTCTTTTAATTCATTTGCAATCTTATTTATCAATACATCTCTATGCAGACAGACAGCTCAAACTTTTCCTCTGTGACTTCTTCCACCAGTTTTGACTTGAATTCTGTATCCAGAGGACTGATAAAAATTCCTCAGCATTTCCTCCTTGCTTCCCATGGTTTGATTCCTTTAACTCTTTTAATCCATCTGGAATTTATTTTGGTGGCTGGGCAGTAATGGGGGCTGAGAACCCATGTGACCCAGCTGGATAACCTTGACAGCTCCCTCCTCCCAGCCCAGGGGCTCTGGAAGGGTGAAGGAGCAACTGCTTCTCTTCACAAAAGAGAAGTTGTCTGCACTTCACAAAAGACTTCTCCCATGAGTGTGGCTCCTCAGTTCTGTGTCCTACTCTCTTCCAGCTCCCTTTGGTCACACTGTTGGGGCCATCCTTTGGTCCCTGAGGCCATCCTGGCTCAGGACATGAGTGCTTAGGACCTACCCACCTCCCTCCCTTTTGGTGTTCCTGGGACAGAGTCACTCTGAAGTTCACTTCGTGGGAGGGTCAGTGTGGATGCAGAGTCAGAGATGAAACCCAAGGTAGCCACACCTGAGGGATGTGGCAAAACAGAATCGAAGGCTAAGGCCCAGGTGCAGTTGAGTCCAGGGAGCAAAAGAAGGCCCAAAACATGAAGTCCAAGGATATCTGGGGGGAAGGCTGTCAACAGGAAATGGGGAGATTGTGCACATTTAAGCCTGCAGTGGCTGAAAAGTTTCCTCAGGCTACTGTATGCAGGGGAAGGAATCTACAAAGAGTATCAGAAGCATAAAAGAATATATTGATATTTCCTTTTTTGCATTTCTTAAAATTGGTTTTTAAATAAATTCAACATTTTGAGTAGGTAATCCATTCACGTAGTTCAAAAATCAAACAATATAGAAAGATATATATTGAAAAGCCTCAGTATCTATCTGACCCTGCCATCAGCTCCCCTAGCCCACCCCAACAGGTAACCACTTTTATTAGTTTCTTCTGCATCCCTCCAGATTGTATCTTCAGTCAAATACAAGCACATACAAATATAATTCTTCTTTTCCCCCCTTTTACACATAAGGTAGCACACTATACACACAGTTCTACACTTTTACATGATAAATTCTGGAGATCTTTCCAAATCAGTAAATAGAGAGCTTTCTTAATCTCTTTTATAGCTGTTTAGTATTCAATTGGATAGATGGATATTGGTATATTCCTAAAAAGCCATTTTGGCAGTATGCATCAAGAGTCTTACATTTTTTCACATACTTTGATCTAGTGATCACTCTTCTAAAAATCTATCCTGAAGAAACAATCAAGAGATGAGAAACAAAGACTGATGCAAACAGCTATTTACTGCATGATTTTCTAGAACTATCCCCCAAATAAATAAATAAGCAACAATAAACAAGTGGTTAGGTAAGGATGGTACATCCCTGCAAAATAATATCATGTAACTATTAATGTTTGTGGAGAACTCTGGTGACACAGAAAAATTAAGATAAGCCAACCAATTCAGATACAAAATTATATGTACAGGGTGAGAGCAATCATGTTTTAAAAATGAATATTAAAAAAACAAAAGAAAGTATACCCAAATGTTAATGTTTATTCCCTCTGAGTTAAAATTGCAGGTGAAGTTTTTCCTTCTTTACACTCTTCTGTATTTTTCTAATTCTCTACAGTAAGCAGGTATTACTTTTCATAATCAGAAAGAAAGGTTTAAAAATATAATCCAAGGAGTCCTAGCCCAGTCCTCTACTCTAATCCTAGGAGCCCACAAACCTCCCTAGTTTCCTCCACGTCCCCAGAGGATCTTCCCAAAGCCAGTCCCTGCTGAGAGTAGACCTCTAAAGTAGGTAGAGAAATAAGTATATTTACTTCTTTCCTTGTCCAGGCTCTAAAGGCCAAGTTCAGGGCTTTACCACCATGGACCAGGTAGGAGGCAGGGTGTCTCCTGTTTTCTCGCAAACCTAAAGGGGGAAAGAGGAAGGTAGAGTGTCAAAGAAGCCATGCAGGGAAGTGAAGGACTTGTTAGTTTTTTTCAGGCAACCAGAGAAAATGCTCAAGGTTCTGAGCCCAACTCCATATCTCAGTTCTTATAATGGTGTTCATTTTATGACTACCTTGACATCTACTATCTCATTTAATCCTATACCCAACCCTATAAGCCAGATATCATTATCTTCATTTTATAGTTCAGGAAATGAGGCTCAGAGAGGCAAAGAGACAACCAAAGGCCACATCTGGTAAGTGCCAAAGCCAAGACTGAAACCTCATCTGTCTAAATCTGAGGCCTGTGCTCCTTCTACACTATTCTGCCTCTTGGGTTTCAAAATGTGAACACTCAGGAGGACAACTGCCACCTACACAGATCTGAAGAGCCATTAATGCCTTGTTCTGAGTTACTCCAGGAGGAGGTTATAACAAACATCCAGATTTAGGCTCAATAAAGAATCTTCTACTGAACTAAGCTGTTCAGAACAGAAAATAATAAGCAGTTAGTCATCCAGCCTCTGAATGAACATTTAAGTGACGGTCTGTCTAGATGGCAGAATAAGGGCTTGAGGTACTTCATAAGAGAGTGTACTCATTGGCCTCTGAGGTTCTTTGTAACTTTTCCTGGCCAAGTCACCTTGAAGAATCTCAGGTCTGAGTAAGGGAGCCACTCTATTTCCAAGCAGACCAGGAAATAGGAAACCCAGCAGGTTGGCTTCTACCTGGGCTGATACCCAGGAACCAAACCAATGATGGGTAGTCAGGACTGGGCCTTGTCCCCAGGGGAAGCACGTCCAGGGAACTCTGACACTATACCGATTGAGTTTCTTATTTTAATTGGCAGGAAATAGGAATAATTTCACTGTGATCCAATTTTCTCAGTCCCCTTTGCTAAATAAAAAAGTTAAAATCCATGCCCTACCCTACATTACGATTAGTAAAAAAGCCAATTTCAAAAGATCGCATCCTTTGATTCCATTTTTATAGCATTCTTGAAATGACAAAATTACAGAGATGAAAAAGAGATCAGTGGTTTCCTGAAGTTATGGATAGTTCAGGGGGAGAGAGTGGGTGAGGTTATAAAGGGGTAACACTACAAAGATCTTTGTGGTGATGGGTACTGTATCTTGATTTGAGGTGATGGTTATGTGCACATGTGCACACACACATGGTCAGGGCAGCAGGGCAAAAAGGACAGTTGGCAAAGGGCTCCATACCTCGAAAGATGTCCAGGATATGCTTTCCCACATACCAACAGATGGTCTCAAAGTTGGGGAACTTGAAGAGGTCTGCTGTGCTCAACCGCTTCTCAATCTCATAGGCTCTGGAGGAAGTAGGCACAACAATAACAATGATAACAAGGACCCTGTTTACTAGGCACCTACTATGTATCAGGTATTGCTCTGGATGCTCTGTATCCATTATCTTTAATCCTCACAACTACCCTCTAAGACCTTACTCTATGGGTTAGGAAACTTGGGCTCAAAGTTTATGTGACTTGACAAAATTCACATAACTACTAAGTGAGGAAGAGGTATTCATCTTCAGACTGAACATCATCAGAAACCAGTATCCATTCCTTTCTGATCATCTTGCCTCCCTTCTATGCTGCACTCCTCACAATACCGGAGAACTCGAGGACTCTAGCAGATGGGAATGGCCAATTCGGGATCACCAGAGCTTCAGGACTCACTTGAGCTGCATTTCAATGTTAAGGCTGTGTAAGAAGTTCCCTCCAAAGGCAAGGCAGTCCACGGGGGTCAGCACAGCATGGATCCATCCTGCAGTGTAACAAGGCAAAAAACATAGCTGGCAGAGGGCCTTTCTTCTTTGGACATCACCACTGCCCACTCAGCTCAAACACAACTCCTTAGACCAGCCAGCCTGGCAGTAATTCAGAACATTCTAGCTTCCTCCACTCTCCCAACGCCCATCCTAGCCAAGTCTGCCATCATTATAACCCTGAACTGGACCAACCTGGGGGTTAATAAACTCCTTCTACTTCCCTTCTCTGCACTTCAAAATCTCTTCGTTGCCTCACCCACCCTCTCTCTTATTGCTAAGAAAGGCATCACCTCCTTGCCATGACTACCCCTTCTAACTCTGCGCTAGGTAAAACAAAGAGTTTTTGTGTTAGACAGACCTGGGTTCAAATCTTGCCGTTTTCTATATCTAAATATCCACTTCACAGGTTGGTTGTGAAGGATGTACCTAGTTGAAACTAAATTATTTTCCTTGCCCTTGACCCTATACTGCCTTCTGGGACCTTCTGATTTTTCTTCTTACATCTCTCTCATATTCATCTCCCCTTCTTCATCCATCCATCCTACTAATGGCTTGGTTCAGATCCATCATTATCTCTCACCTATGCTATTTGAAACAGCCTACAAACTGGCTCCTCTAACACCAGTGGTTCTTTAAGGCGTGATCCAGGGAATCCTGGGGCTCCTTGAGACTCTTTCAGAGCATATGCATGGTCAAAACTATGTTCATGATAATAAGATGTTATTTGTCTTTTTAACCCTCAGTATACAGTGGAGTTTTTCAAGGGGTACATGACATGATATCACAACACACAGAAGCAGATTTGAGGACACAGAAGTTTTCTGCTAACCCGAATATTAAAAAGATTTGCAGAAATGTAAATGTCAATCTTTTCACTAAATTTTTTTAGTTTGAAAATAGTTATTTTTCATAAAAATTATTACTTATGCTAACATGTAATGGGTTTATTCTTGTTTTTTCCTCAATGAACTAATAAATATATTTAAATTCTCAGTTTTAATTTATAATATGGTAAATATTAATAAATATAAACCACATAAATAAAAGCTCTTTGGGGTCCTCAATAATATTTAAGGGTATAAACAGGTCCAGAGTCCAAAGTGTTTGTAAACCACTGCTCCACACCAATCTCAACCTCTGAAGTCCATCCTCCACATCTCAACCCTAAGTGATATATCTGAAATGCAAATCTGCCCATGTCACCTCCTGCTTGAAACTCTTCAATGAAATGTACATCCACAGAAGAATAGATAAACTGCTGTATACTCATACAATGGAATACTAGAAAGCAAGTGAAATGAATGAACAATAGCCACATGTATCAACATGGATCTCACAATCATAATGTTCAGAGAAAAAAGTTGAGAAAAATACATCTGATTCCATTTATATAACATTCAAAAACATGTAAAACAATACTATATACTGCTTACTAAGGCATACCTATGTAATAAAGGGATAAAAATGCATGAGAATGATATCATCAACTTCAGGACAACAGCTAGCTCTGAGAGGGCAGAATGGGAATGTAATTGAGGAGAGGTATATACAAGGCTTCAAATATGTTTGTAATATGTTATATTTTAGTTGAGTTATAAACACATAAATGTTCATTATATTATTCTTTATATCTCTTGCTACATCTGAAATATTTCATTAGAAATTAAATAAACAAATAAATCTTCAGTAGTCCCCAGTTGCCTCTGAAGTAAGTTCAGCCTGCCAACCTTTTCAGCTTCATCTACTCCCAGCCCTTGGTCTTTAGGCTCCAGTATCCATAAACTGCTTCACACATCTTTGCTTTGTTTATGTCTTTCCCTTTATCTGAGAGCGCTTTCCTGCCTTTCTTTCCTTGGTCAGTCTCTATTTACTCTTCAGGTGTCACTCTTCTGAGAAGATTTTCACAAACCTCTGGCCAGACTAAGTGCTCTTCTCTGTGCTCCCAAAACTTCTGGTGAATATCTCTATTGTGTCTATTAGTACTGAAGAGCCTATCCATATTCTATCTCTAGCACCTAGTCCAATGTTGGGGCAGACAATAGACATGAAATGCTTGTGGAACTCAGTAGATTGCACCCAGTTTGTGGGAATTTCTACCAAGATGCAAATGAATCCAACTCAAATCTCTGGTAGACAAATTCAATTCACCAGTTACCAAGTGCCCAGTGTACAAAAAAATAAACATCATGTGAGACCCAGCAAAGAATTCAAAGATGGGTGAATAAATGCATGGGAATAGAAAACTATAAAAGAGAAAAGCAGATGGGTATGGGGGTAGGAGGAGGGGGGCATGACTTGCCTCATCATATATTAAACATTCTATAAAACCAATGTAATCAAATCAATATGATACTGATATATGAATAGACAAACAGATCTGAGTAACAGAAAAGAAAATCCAGAATTATACAATATAATGTTCGACAAAGATGTTAGAATTATATAACACGAGTTTTAAAGGAGTCATCATAAAAATGCTTCAACGAACAATTACAAGCATGCTGGAAACAAACAAACAAAAGAAAGAGAAGCTATAAATAAGAAACAAGTACAAATTATAGAACTAAAAAATACTACATCTGAAATATATAATGAAACAATGGACTCAACAGAAGAATGGAGACAATGGAGAAAAGAATCAGAGAATTTGAAAACAGAACAATAGAAAGCACCCAATATGAACAAGAGAGAAGAAATAGACTGAGAGAAAAATAAACTCAGGAACCCAACAAGGACCTACTGTATAGCACAGGGAACTATATTCAATAGCTTGTAATAACCTATAATAGAAAATAATCTGAAAAAAGATAGATACTATATATATAACTGAGTCTCTTTTTGCTCTACACCTGAATCACTGTAAATCAACTATGTGCCAGTAAAAATAAAAAAGACAAAAAAATAAAGAACCATGCAATGGGACAGAAAAAAAACCCTCAGGAACCTGTGGGACTACAGCAAAATGTGTTACATTTGTATAATCAAAGACCCAGAAGAAAAGTTAGAGTGAGGGAATTAAAAGGTATTTGAAGAAATAATACCTAAAAATTTCACTAATATGGCAAAAGACATAAGCCTACACATTCAAGAAGCTTGACGAACATATACAGTATAAACCCAAAGAAATCCACACCAAGACACATGATAGTCAAACTGCTGAAAAACTAAAGAAAAAAGAAAAAATATTGGAAGTAGCAAGAAATGACACATACAGGGAAAAAAACAATTTAAAGGGTAGCCAAAATCTTATCAGAAACCACAGAAGCCAGAAGGAAGCAGCACAACATTCAAGTGCTGAAAGAAAATATCAACCCAGATTTCTATACCCAGCAAAACTATCCTTCAAGAGTGAAAGGGAAATCAAGACATTTACAGATGAAGGAAAACTAAGAGAATCTGTTGCCAGCAGATCTACCCTGAAACTCTAAACAGAGAGGAAATGATAAGAGAAGGAATCTTGGAACACCAGGAAGGAAGAACAATGGAAGAGTAAAAATACAGGTAAATACAATAGACTTTCCTGCTCTTGGATATTCTAAATTATGTTTGACAGCTGAAACAAAAATTAAAACACTATGTGATGTAGCTCTAATGTATGCAGAGGAAATATTTAAGACAAATACATTACATATGGTAAGGGTAAAGAGATGTGAAAAGAGGTAAGGTTTCAACTCTTTCTTCAAACTGGTAAAATGTCAGTATCAGTAGACTGTCATAAGATAGATATATATGTATATATAAATATACACATATAGATACGTATGTACATATATACATATATACACATACACATATTTATCTATATATGTACATATACATAGATATATGTGTATATGTCTATGTACATATACATATATATCTATATATGTATACATATATACATAAAACTAGAGCAAACACTAAAAAAAAAATCTATATAAAACCTGAAGCTGAAAACTTCATATGGAAATTCAAGGGGCCCAGGAAGGCTGACACTTCCCAATTTCAAAACTTACTACAAGTGTACAATAACTGAGACAGTGTGGTACTGTCATAAAGACAGACATACAGATCAATGGAATAGAATTCAAAGTCCAGAAATAAACCAATACATGGCCTATGGTCAACTGATTTTTGACAAAGGTATCAAGACAATTCAATGGGGGAAAGAATGGTCTTTTCAAATTGTTCTGGGACATCTGGACATCCATATGCAAAAGAATGAAATTGGACCCATATCTCACACCATATACAAAAATTATCTTGAAATGGATGAAAGACATAAATGTAAGAACTAAAAAGAAAACTCAGAAGAAAACACAGGTGTTAATCTTCATGACCTTGAATTAGGCAATTGTTTCTTAGATATGACACCAAAAGCACAAGCAAAGAAAAAAAACAGATAAACGGGACTCTTGGGCTTCACAGAACAACATCAAGAAAGTAAAAAGACAACCTCCAGAATGAGAGAAAGTATTTGCAAATCACACATCTGATAAAGGTCTAAACCAAAATATTTAAAGAATTCTTACAACTCAACAATAGAAAGACAAATCACCTAATTAAGGAATGGGCAGGGACTTCCCTGGTGGCACAGAGGATAAGACTCCACACCCCCAATGCAGGGGGCCTAGGTCTGATCCCTGCCCAGGGAACTAGATGTCACATGCATGCCGCAACTAAGAGTTCACATGCCACAACTAAGGAGCTCGTGTGCCGCAACTAAGGAGCCTGCTTGCCTCAAATAAGACTTGGCACAATCAAGTAAATAAATAAATAAATAAATGGGCAGAAGTTTTGAATAGATATTTCTTCAAAAAAAATATATAAACATACAATAAGTGCATGGAAAGATGTTCAAAATCAATAGCCATTAGAGAAGCACAAATTAAAATCTCAATGAGCTACAACTTCACACCCACTAGGATGGCTATAATCATAAAGACAGGCAAAAACAACTGTTGGGTAGGATGTGGAAAAATTGAGACCCTCATAAATCGTTGGTGGAAAATGCAGCTGCTTTAGAAAACAGTCTGGCAATTCCTCAGGAAGTTAAACACAGAGTTACCATATATATGACTCAGCAATTCCTCTCCTAGGTAGATATACCCAAGAGAACTGAAAATATATGTTAACACAATAACTTGTACATGAATGTTCATAGCAACACTATTCATAATAGGCAAAAAGTGAAAACAACCCAAATGTCTATAAAATGATGAATGGATAAACAAAATATGGTATATCCATACAATGGAATTATTATTCAGCCATTTAAAGAATGAAGTACTGATAACATGGATGAACCTTGAAAATATTATGTTGGGTGAAAGAAGCCAGACATAAAAGACTACATATTGCATGATTCCATTTACATGAAATATTCAGAAAAGGCAAATTCATACACAGAGAAAAGTACAGAAGTGGGGTTGACAGGGGCTGGGGGGGAAGAAGGAATGGGGAGTGACTGCTAACAGGTACAGGGTTTCTTTCTGAAGTGAAGAAAACTTTCTGGTATTAGATAGTGGTGATGTTTGCACAACTTCAAGAATATTTTTTTAAAAACTGAATTGTACCCTTTAACGTGGTAATTTTTATGGTATGTGCACTATATCTCAATTTTTTTAAAGGCACATTTAACAAAATGAAAATACAACATATCAAAATATGTGACACAGCTAAATCAGTGCTAAGGGGGGAATTTATAGCACTAAATGCTTATATTAAAAAAAAGAAGAAAAGGGCTTCCCTGGTGGCGCAGTAGTTAAGAATCCACCTGCCAATGCAGGGGACACAGGTTCAAGCCCTGGTCCAGGAAGATCCCACATACTGCGGAGCAACTAAGCCCATGCGCCACAACTATGGAGCCTGTGCTCTAGAGCCCACGAGCCACAACTACTGGGCCCACGTGCTACAACTACTGAAGCCCGCACACCAAGAGCCCGTGCTCTGCAACAAGAGAAGCCACCGTGATGAGAAGCCTGTGCACCACAATGGAGTAACCCCCACTCGCCGCAACTAGAGAAAGCCCATCCACAGCAACGAAGACCCAATGCAGCCAAAAATAAATAAATAAAATAAATTTATTATAAAAAAAGAAGAAAAGTCTGAAATCAATAATCTAAGCTCTCATCTCAAGATCAGGAAAAAGAGAGCAAAATAAACCCAAAGCAAGCAGAAAGAAGGAAAAACAAAGATAAAAGCAGAAATCAATGAAATTGAAAACAGAAAGACAACAGAGAAAATCAGTGAAACAAAAAGTGATTCTTTAAAAAGTTCAACAAAATTGACAAACTTCCATTAAGACTAACACACAATAAAAGAGAAGGCACAAATTACTAACATCAGGAATGAAACACAGGGTAGCACTAGAGACTTGGAAGATATCAAAAGAATAATAAAGAAATACTATCTCTACACACATCAATTTGACAACTTAGATAAGATGGACCAATTGCTCGAAAAGCACAAACTTACAATTCACTCAATATGAAATAGATAATTTGAATAGCCTAATACAGGTTTAAAGAAATTGAATGTTAATTAAAAACTTCCCAAAAAGGAAATCTCCAGGTCCATGTGGCTGCAGTAGAGAATTCTATTGAACATTCTGAGAAAATTTAACACTAATTCTGAAATCAAGGAATTAAGAAATTAGAAAGTCAAGAAAAATCTAAATCAATGGAAAGACATATGTGTTCATGGAAGATTCAACATACTAAAGATGTCAACTTTCCCCAAATTGAGACAACTATAGGGACTTTTTCAAAATAAATACACTCAGATCCCACCCCAGACCAACGATTTCATAATTCTAGGGGTGAAGCCTAGGCCTTTATGGTTTTGGGAAAAAAAAAAACCCTACCCCCACCCAGGTCATTCTGACTTATAGTCTACAATGCCAGTCTCTCAGTCACTATCTCTAGAGTCATGGGGCTAAGAGTCCTGTTTTCTATCTGTCCACCAAGTTGACATCAGTCCAGTGCAAAGGAGCTATCAACTTCCTCCTGGACCTCCCCAAGAAACCACACTGCCCACTGGCCACCACTCGAATTTTCTTGATGTCCACTTCTGAGCCTTCAACTGATATGAGAGGGATATCTCACATAATCAGATCAACACATTATGGGAAGGGGTTGGTTCCAGTGCCACAAGCTCTCTTCCTCTTCCCACCTTCCTCAAACCCTCCCAGAGGAGCCCAGGGAAGACCTGTAGGAATGAAAAGTGTCTGTCCTTGCTTCACAGAACACTTGTAGCACTTGTCCACCTGGTCCCCAAAGAACATCTCATTCTGGTTAGAGGAGCTGCTCCAGCACTCAAAGAGAGTCAGGTTGGCATTTGTTGGGCGGATCAGGTAGAAGATCTTCTCACCCTGAAACAAAGAAAGATTGACATGTCAAAAATATCAAAGGTTTCCAGAGAAGTCTTCTGGGAGTCTCCAAAAGAATATTCTCTCTCTCATGTTCCAAGACCATGTAGTATGCTAGAATTCCTTCTGTCCAAGGATCATTTATATATATATTTGGAAAACTTCAGAAGTCCTTTTGCACTTTGTACTTTTAAGCTTCTATAAAACTGACAAAAACAATTTGGAAAGGACATTTCAAACAAAATTGTCAACTTAAGACAAATGTACACCAAAGGCTCCTATTTTAGATGCAATGCCAAATGAAAAATGGCCTCTATAGATGAGTAGATCAATATTACTAGCCCTAGGAGAATTTAAGGCCACATTACTAATGAGAAGAAAATTGAATTTGCCTTTAAATGCCATTTACAGAGAGCATTCCTTCTCACACCTGCAATCAAAGCTAATAAAAGTTTAAAAGTTCAGTAATCACCCAAGGACTTCTGTAAGATTATATGTTGGATGATTATCTGTTGGAAGAACATATTATTTCCTAACTATGTTTTGCCTGGATAATCACCAGATAGATAATTTGGCAGAAAAGAAAAAAACCCACTAGCACAAAAATATCCCCAACCCATAGCTTGATTAGTTTAACCAATATTTCATAATACATTTCAATGTAGAAAATTATCTACTAGAAATTATTTACTGTACAATTAGAGAAATTTGAATCAGATCTGTAGATTAGATAACAGTATTATATCAATATTAATTTTCTGATTTTGATAACTATACTGTGGTTATATAAGAGAATACCCTTGTTTTTAAGAAATACACACTGAATTATTACGAGATAAAGGGACACCTTGTCTGAAACTACTCTCAGGTGTTTCAGAAAAAATATTTATATAAAACCATTTTATTATGTTTGCTTCAGAGAAAGAAAGAGTATAATAAAATAGTAACATGGGAATCTGAGTGAAGGGCACACAGGAAATCTTCCTATTATTTTTGCAATTTTTCTATGAAAAAGAAACTATTTAAAAATAAAAAAGTTAAATCTAACATTTGCATAATAGCACTTTCATTTACACACTCCAATTTCTTCATGATAAACCAATGAAAACAACTAGCTCAAGATTTGTGATCATTTGGACAAGAGCCATATCCAAGTTTTCTGCTCTTTCCTTGGCGTTTCTGATAAGAAAGCTAAATAGCATGAACAGTGGTGGAGAACAATAAAACTTACTTAAGAAATTTATTTTCCAGACCTCAAAAATCCTTTGTAGTCACTGACAATCAATATGCTAATTATAAAATTGTAACGACCACTAAAAGGGAAACTATAGAAAGGCTGACATTAAAAAAAACCATCTCATACGTGCTCTATCTTGATGGTGGTGGCAGTCATGCAACTATTTATACAATTGTCAAAAATCATCAAACTATACACTTAAAACAGGTGAACGTTATGGTATACAAATTATAACTCAATAAACTTGGAGGGGAAAGGGAATTTCTCATGTTACCAGAAATGTCTGCAGTAAATATGGACATTTCCATACATAGCAGTAGGAGTACAGATTGGTTCAATTAAGATAACAGTCAGAGAAAACCTTAGGCATCTGCTGTTATTAAAAAAAAATAAAAGTTAACCATCAAAACTGTAAAGTAGAGACAATTTATATGGCATATCCACTCAGTACCCAACCCTGATAGAGCAGTTATGTTGAAATGTCACCCAAATAGAATCTGGGATGCAGGTAGGCCTTAGCAGCCTGTCTTTATGCTGCCACCTGAAACAAACAGGGAGGCCCAAGGCCTGGCTGTCTTCAGAAGCCATAGCCATTCTTACCTTGAGCACATGGTACCAGACCGACGTGCCACCAAAGTCAATGTGAAAGTCTGTATAACTATCCCGCACGCTCATGAGGCAGTACTTCTGCACGTTGGGCCTCTCAAAGATACACTCCTCTGGCCACAAGTTCTCCACCCATGAGAGCTTCCGAACAATCTTGGGTGTCTCCACAAAGTTAGAAAGCCTATCAAGGAAGGGGTGGAGAGCAGATGTCAGCTGATTGGGAATTGAAGGCTGAAGCCTGAATAAAATGCCCCCCATCCCAGTGAGACTCAGATAAGAGAAAGAAGTTCTCTCCACAGAATCCCAAAGAGCACACAGGACACTTATTTTTGTAAGTCCAGTCAGCATCCTCATTCCACTCAGCTCTGGAATTCCCAAGTCCCAGCTCCATAGCCTTCCCCAGTCAAAGGTGATCATTTCCTCCACTAAATGCTCAGAATCTCCACACCCGGGTCCACTCACTTGGCACATGGTGTATAACAGTATTGTACTGTCCCCATGTTGTAGTGTCTTCTTTATGAGGAACAATTAGAGAAACCTCTCAGGGCTCAGTTCCAGGTAAAGAAGTGTTTACGTGGGACAGAGGACCTATCCTGGGAGTTAAACGGTGACCATGCCACAATCTAAACACCAAAAAAAGGTCTAAGAAAGCTGTCCTAAATCTTGAAGGAAACAAAAATTAAAATAGCTACTGTATAATCTATCCTATGCTAGAAATTGTAAAGGAGAAATATGATTTGGTTGTTATAATGTGAGCAGCTACCCTAGAAAGTATAAACCAGCTCCTCATCCCAAAGGAAGAAACCACCGGGAAGAAGGGAAAGGAACACTAATATACACTCAGTATATCACAAGTCCTAGGCACTTTGTGAGGCTTTTTACTTACCCCTCTCCCTCTTACCTGGTATCAGAGAATTCCAAACTAATGACATTGAGGACTTTTTCCCTCTTCCCACTATAATAATATTTCACAAAATCACCAAGCTTCATCTTGCAGTCGGCCTGGCGGGTCACATCAATCACATCAATCTCTTTGTCAGAACCTGGAGTAAAGAGATGGATTCTGCACCAAGTCCCAGAGATCAGAGAAGACTCTCACATCCCCTAACCAGTCCCTAAAATGACCTTACACTGAAAACTTCTCACTGTATTTGTATGTGCATAAATGGGAAGTGGGGGTAGGTATTCCTCACACTCTACTTAGATCTATGTGCCAGGTCCAGGCCTGCTAAGGCAACAGAACTGCCTGACACATAGTCTCACTCACAGTACTATCCACCTGCCTGGGCCCTGCTTCCTCACTTCTCTTCCTATCCCCCAAAACTCATGTCCAGAACACAACTAGCATGTGAGGGCAAAAGTCAAAGGCTTTTTCATCTCAACAGAGGACAGAGAGGCCATAACAATCCTTGGAATTCCCCAGGTAAAAGATGGGGCTCAGCCTGGGGTTTTGTGGTGTGTTAGGAGGAAAAGGAAGGGTAGGCTAGGATTTTGGTTCCAGCTTTGCCTAAGAAGACTCGGGGGGGCTTCCCTGGTGGCGCAGTGGTTGAGAGTCTGCCTGCTGATGCAGGGGACACGGGTTCGTGCCCCGGTCCGGGAAGATCCTACATGCCGTGGAGTGGCTGGGCCCATGAGCCATGGCCGCTGAGCCTGCGCGTCCGGAGCCAGTGCTCCTCAACGGGAGAGGCCACAACAGTGAGAGGCCCGTGTACCGCAAAAAAAAAAAAAAAAAAAAAAAAAAAAAAAAAAAAAAAAAAAAAAAAGAATGACTCTGGGCAAGGCACTTCACCTCAAATTCCCAAGATGGCTAGAAAGGAAATGCAAAACGTAGACTGGAGGGGAAGGGTCATACGTTTTGATGGGAGTGAACAATGTCACAGTTAAGAGGGTCTGTGGTGCTTACCAACATAGTGTTCCACATCCCTCACAGTGAATGATGGTGAGGGCAGCGTCATCCCCAATCCATCCTTCTTCAAGACCAGGATGGGCACACTGAAGCTATTCTCTTCCAGGAATTCCACGGTCAGCTGACTTCCAGTGGGCTTCAGAATCACTTCATCTGAGCTGTGGGCCACATGAGAGAAAGCCTGAACCCTAGAGGCCCTGCTACTGAAGGCCTCACTGGATGCTGTCACTCACCCAAAGGGTGGGGTCTTCCTGAGGGGACCTAATGTTGGCTGGCAACTAATGAGTGGCATAAACTTCACCTGCCAGGGAAGAAATGACCTGTCGAAGGCAAGAAGCCAGGTCACTGGCAGAGGTGGTAAGCTAAATCCAGGATAGCCTGTCAATATGGTGCTCTTCTCTAGATGACAAAGGAAGAAATCACTCAACAGCCTGCCCAGGAAGAAAAGACATACCTGACAAGTTTAGCTAAATTACTCTAACCCAGAGCAGCACTACCCCATTTTAAACACTGGCAAATAAAGAGAAAAGACTGATTTAAAAACAAAAACAATTTTTATAGCCACTCTCTTGACACACATACTTCATTAACTAGAAAACAGGAGTTTCTGGTTTTCTTAAAATCATGCTGGAGAAAAGACTGGCTATTTGACAAATTGTGTTGGGACAAACATCTGGAAAAATATTAAGATCAAAGTCTATCTCACTCTTTAAGTAATTCTAGATGGAACAAAGATCAAATTAGAAAAAATAAGGCCATAGAGTAGTAGAAAAATTATCGGAGAGACAAGGCCCAGTAATCATTATAAATAGTAATAGTAAATTTAAGTAAAAATTAAAATTTTCTGCAAGGAAAGCTATTACAAATCAGTATGAAATAGGCAGTAACCCAACAGAAAAACTGTTAAACAATGTTGAGAAGGCAGTTAACAGAGAAAGAAATAAAGATGACTTATAAATGTACGATAACAGACATGCTTCCTTCATAACTAAAGAAATGCAAGTGGAAACAATGAAATCTCATTTTTTATCTTATCAGAAAGGCAAAAAAGTTTGATAATAAACAGTGTTGGCCAGGATATAGGAAAACAGGTACCCTCACACATTGTCTAGTGGGAGTATGAAATAGTGTGGCCACTTTGAAAACAATCTGGCAATATTTATAAACATTTTTAAAGCACATACCCTTTGACCTAGCAATTTCATTTTTAGGTAGTAAATCTACACATATACTCACCCACATATGCAAAAACCTAAGTACAAAGACATTCACTGCGCATTTTTTTTCTAATAGCAAAATACTAGAATTGATTTAAATATTCATCAACAGAGGACTGGTTAAATAAATTATACATCCATACAGTGGAGTACTAAACATCCATGAAAAAGAATGAAGAACATCTGTATATGCTGTTATGGATTGATCTCCATAATTTAGATTTTAAAAAAAGCAAGATGTAGAACAATAAGTGTTTCTGTTTGTGTTTTTTAATAAACAAGGGGACACACACACACACACACACACACACACACACATATGTTTGTATAAGCAAAAACTATTTCTGAAAGAATGCACAAGAAATTGGTTGACTCTGGAGAAGGGACCTGAGGGGTCTGGGGTAGAAAGGAGACTCACTGCCTTTAAATAAATAAAACAAAATTTATTAAGTTGAAGAAACACTTATAATCCTAAATAACACTTCAATTATAGGAAAGCTGGAAAAGGTCAAATGAATTAAAAACTAAGCAAAAGAGAATGCTTTATTCATTAATTTTTCTAACACTATTTTTGCTCAATTCAAGTAATTTATTTAATAAGCCCATCTTAATTTTCTAAAAGAAAAAACTTTTTTCTTGATTTTAAAAGAAATACATGACTACTCAAAAAAAATTTTTTTCCAAAGAGTTTCATCTTCTCTACAATGAGAGAATTAAACTTTCTGATTTTTAAGACTCCTTCTAGTTATAGCATTCCCTGGGTGCATGTAAATATCCTCTCCTGACTGAGGCGAAAACTGCCTATCTACCAAAAGTTTCTACAAGTGGACCTTAATGTACTCTGCACATCAAATGAAACTCTAGCAATGTTTCTCAGAAACTGACTAAAACAGAAGATCCCTCCCCAGAGGGAACTCACAGAGCCCTGCAGACATCCCCAGATGGTGGAGGTACCCAGTGTGACAGCCAGTGGGAAAGCTGGGAAGAGATGGGCCCCAGCTTCCCAGAGCCCTGGCATTCACTGGCCCTTGGAGTACGGGGTCCTCACCTGTCAAAGGTCCTACTCCGAAGCTCTCGAATGAACGTAGGGCTTCCCGTCTTCACTGGCTTCCCCTTGTGTGTATCATGGCCTTTTGAAGATACACGGCGTTTTTTCACTAAGTCAGTAAAAGACAAGACACTGTCAGTCAAAATGGCTACAAGCTATGGTTCCAAGAGCAAACGCCTCAGCAGATCCTGCTTCTCTTCCAATCTAACAACCCCTTGCATCATCTGGAGTCAAGGAGGCCCTCACAGTCTCAGGAAAGCTCTTGGTGAGGATAGGTGCTTCCTCTGGGGAATCCCTAAGTAAGGGAGGGAGGTGAAACTCTGCACTTCTGCCCTCTCAGTGGAGCAGCTGCTGGCCTGCAGGGCCTACACAGGCTTCTGCTATTTCCCAAGAGAGACAAATCTGAAGCACTGACAAAAAGGCAATTTTCCTTCCAAGCTTCCTTTGCTTTGTCTCTCCTCTGGACTGCCTTCTCTTAAAAACTCCAAGATCTACTTACTGATGGAGGGCCCATGTAAGACCTCACAATTGGGGCAGTGGTAGAGGTCAATGTCAGCAGCCTTCTCCTCTTCAACACCAACACAACTAGAAAAGAGAAAATCAGACAAGGTTTGTGGAAATTTTACTTTTCGTAAGGTCTAGAACTGTGCTGTTCAGTACACAATTAAGTAAAATTTTAAATGCAGTTCCTTCATCACACTAGCTACATTTCAAGTGCTCAGTAGCCACACGTGGTTACCATATTGGGCAGATTATCAAACTTTTTTGTCAATGCAAAAAGTTCTATTGGACCAAATGGTCTAAAATAATTATGACAGAGCTAAAAATGTACAGACAATAAAGCTTCATTAAGACTCAGAATGGTCAAAGCTGGAAGAGACTCTAGAGCAGTGCTGTCCAGTAGAAATATAATGTGAGTTAAATATGTAATTTTAAATGTTCTAATAGCCACATTAAAAAGGTAAAAAGAAACAGGTGAAATTAAGTTTAATAATAATTTAATATTTTATTAACCAATATATCTAAAATATTATTTCAACATAAAATCAAACATTTAAACTTTGTTGAGCTATTTACTTTATTAAATGAAAATAGTATTTTATAGTCAACAGTGGTTCCCTCTGAGTGAAGGATTATGGTAACCATTTTTCTCTTAAATGTATTTTCTAATTTTCTACAATGAACATGTGTTACTTATTTCATACTGTAATGTCTGAGAAAGATTTATTTAATTTTGAAAATCTGAGTTTGCATGTATGTGAGCTGGTAATCTCACAAAATTTAAAGCCTTCTTCGTCAAAGAAGTCATCGGCAGCCCTCCAAAAAACTTCTGGCTAAGATCTCCTAAAATCTTTGGTCAGCCACAGAGAACAGGGAGCATAATAATAAGGCAGAGTTCCAACCATTTCGGCTAAGACTGACTTCCTAGGATCAGGACCCCACCACCTTCCCGAGTGCTAACCCTGTAAACCTGTTGCACATCAATAAATTGAGGACATTTTATTTTATAAAAGGATTGGTCTATTATGAATTGGAAATTTAAAAAAAAAAAAACCAAAATACCCTGGGTCCTTCACCTCAGATAATCTAAGAAGCACTGTGTTAGAACCCGGTCAGGTAGAAGTTGTACATTCTCCCAGACCCTTCTAACTCAGGGCTGGGCTGGGGGTGAACATCCCCCTCACTTTCCAGTGAGACTCTGAGATCATCTCTCCTCTATCCTTGTGTAAGATCTCCTATTCCTCTGAGTTTCATATCATCCAACAATAGCTCTTCCCACTCCTCTTCACTATCAGCTACTCATCTCCCCAACATACCTCTTCACTATCAGCTACTCATCTCCCCAACATACCCTCTTCACTCACTGAAGAACCTGCTCACAGATTCTTCTTCATCCCAAGTCCTGCCAGCCTCCCACGTGACATAATTATGGATATAAAGGCCTAATATCCCAGCCTCTTAGCTCATTGACCTTCTCATCTTCAGAGACTGCTGCCTCCACTCCCATTTCAGCTACCAACTCTCATGGCCATCACCCAGACCTTGTCAACACTTGCAACTGCTTCACCTCTGGAATATGAAATGCATACATTACACTCTGACCACAAGTACATCCATCCAGCTCTCATTCATTACACCTGTTCTTTGCCCTCAAAAATCCCTTGATCCTACTTTTCACCTGTTCAACTGCTGTTGCCTTCACCGTTCTTCCCTATCTAGTTCATAGATTTCATCATTCCTCACTTCAACCATTCTCTTACAGATACCTTCAACTCACTTGCCCCACTGCCTTTACATCACTCCCAAGTGCAAATCCCAACCCTGGCTCAATCCAACTATATAACATTGGACCATTGGACATGGCTAGAGAAAAATCATCCATTGGATTGGTGCCACAATAAATTCACACTGTCCAAAATATCTGAGTCACAGAAAAACCAACACAATATTGAAGGAGAAGAACAAAGTTGGAGGACTGATGCTACCCGACTTGAAGACTTACTATAAAGCTACAGTAATCAAGACAGTGTGGTACTGATGAAAGAATAAACAGATCAATAGAACAGAAAAGAGAGCCCAGAAATAGATCAACAGAAATATAGTCAACTGATCTTTGACAAAGGAGCAAAGGTAATACAATGGAGCAAAGACAGTCTTTTCAACAAATCGTGCTGGAACAACTGGACATGCAAACAAATGGAATTAGACACAGACCTTATATCCTTCACAAAAAAGAACTCAAAATGGATCACAGACCTAAATATAAAATGCAAAACTATAAAACTCCTAGAAGACAACATAGGAGAAAATCTAGATAACCTTGGGTTTGGCAATGACTTTTTAGATGCAACACCAAAGGCACAATCCATGAAAAATGAGAACTGATAAGCTGGACTTCATTAAAATTAAAAACCCGTTCTGTGAAAGGCATTGTCAAGAGAATGAAAAGACAAGCCAAAGACTGGAAGTAAATATTTGCAAAGGACATATCTGATAAAGGACTGTTATCCAAAATATAACAGAAAGAACTCTTAAGAACTCTTAAAACTCAACAATAAGAAAATGAACAACCTGATTAAAAAATGGGTAAGAGATCTGAGCAGACACCTTACCAAAGAAGATATACAGATGGCAAATAAGCATATGAAAAGGTGCTCCACATCCTGTATCAATAGGACAATGCAAATTAAAACAATGAGATATCACTATACACCTATGAGAATAACCAAAAATCCAGAACACTGACAACACCAAATGCTGGCCAGGAGGTGGAGCGACAGGAACTCTCATTCTTTGCAGGTGGGAATGCAAAAAACAGCCCCTTTGGAATACAGTTTGGCAGTTTTTTACAAAACTAAACATACTCTTACCATACAACCCAGCAATTGTGCTCTCTGGCATTTACTCAAAGTAATTGAAAACTATGTCCACATAACAACGTGCACACAGATGTTTATAGCAACTTTATTCATAATTGCCAAAATTTGGATGCAACCAAGATGTCCTTCAGTAGGTGAATGGATAAACTGTGGTACATCCAGACAATGGAATGTTATTCAGCACTAAAAAAAAAAGCTATCAAGCCATGAACAGACATGAAAGAAACTTTGAAAGAAGCCAATCAGGCTACATATTATATGATTCCAACTACATGACATTCTGGAAAAGGCAAAACTATGGGGACAGTAAAAAGATCAGTGGTCATCAGGGATTGGGGGGGGAAGAGAGATGAACAGGCAGAGCACAGAGAATTTTTAGAGCAGTGAAACTATTCTGCTACTAAAATGACGTAATGGTGGGTACAAGTTATTATACATTTGCCCAAACCCATAGAATGTATAACAACAAGAGTAAATCCTGATGTAAACTATGGATTTGGGGTGATAATCATGTGTCAATGTAGGTTCATCTACTTTAACAAATGTACCACTCTGGTGGTGGGGGATGTTGATAACGGGGGAGGCTATGCATGTGAGGGCAGGAGGCATATGGGAAACCTCTGTACCTTCCACTCAACTTGGCTGGGAACCTAAAACTACTCTAAAAAATAAAGTCTATTTTAAAAAATCTGGGTCATGCTGCCTGACAATTCTCCTGTATTTCCCTGCTCAGTTCTCTCCACCATCATCCACAATAGCTATTTCAAATCTCTGACCCCCCACTGCCTTCCTCTTCTCTCTCAGCAAATGACCCTGCCTCCTACTTCTTAGACAAAATGAAGTAATCAGATGGGAACTACCTCAACTTCTCACACCAAATCTACCTCCTTCTGCATCCTTCTTTTCCTCCTGTTACAACAAAAGAACTATCTTTCCTTCTTTGTAAAGTCAGCTTTTCCACCTGGGTCACATCTTTTTTTTTTTTTTTTTTTACCTTCTCAATAAATTCCCTCTTCTTTCTGCAGTATCTTCAACCTCTCCCTCTCTACCTTCCCCTTCACAATAGCATTTAAACTAGCTCACTGATCTTTGCAAGACCTTCCCTGCCTCCTTTCTGCCCCTCTCTGCCACTTCAGAGCTAAATACCTTCTTTGTTTAATCCTATGCAGCTTCACAATGACTTTTATTTAAATAGGTATTGATTATACATTTTATGAAACTCCAAAGGTACAGAAGCGTATACAGTGAAAAGTCTCTCTCCTACTCCTAGCCACACTGTACTATCCAGAGATGTTCTACCAGGGCCAAACCTATAAAAAGAATTTTTTTGAGTTGCTGTGTACACTTTCTCACCCACTGCTGCAGTCTGATTTTAGTCCCCACCTTCTCTAAAACAGACTTCACTGATATCTTGACCTCCTTACTGAAACATGCAATAAGTACTTCCTTCCTTTATCTCATTTGACCTCCTAGCAGCATTACCACAGTGCTGACCCTGTGCTCTCTCTACTTGACTTCCATAACACCCCATTTGCCCGGGGTCCATCCCTCCAGCTAACATTTAATGAGCATCTGCCAGGCCCTGGTCTAGGTGCTGGAGAGACAAAGACACAGAACAAAGCATACAAAAATCCCTGCCCTCATGGAGCTGACAATCTAGTGGGTGAAGCAGACAAGAAGCAAGATAAATCAGGGTAACCAGTGAAATACATTGTACGTTAGATAGAGGAGTTAAGTAGAAAAATAAAGCAGGAAGGGGAATATGTATGCATGTATATGTAAGTATACATACACACACTGGGTGGTGAGGGGAATGACAGTGGTGTTGAAATTTTGGGTAGGGAAGCCAGGGAAGGACTCACTGACAAAACAATTTTTGTATGAAGACCTGAAGGGAGTAAAGGAGCAAGCCATATGTATATGAGGGAAGAGCATCCCAATTAGAACAGCAAGTACAAAAGCCCTGTGGCAGGAGTGTGCCTAGACGAGGACAGTGTTCTGGAATAGAGAGAGCAAAGGGGACAATAATAGGTCAGAAAGGCTCACGCAGTAGAGTCCTGTAGGCCAGGGGTCCCCAACCCCCGGGCCTTGGACCAGTACCGGTCTGTGGCCTGTTAGGAACCGGGCCGCACAGCAGGAGGTGAGTGGCGAGCAAGCGGAAGCTTCATCTGCCGTTCCCCATCGCTCCCCATCGTGCGCATTACT